AATTCGGTTTGATCAGCTGATGTTTCAATTTTATTGTAAATCACACAATCGTCGGCGAATAGTCTGATTGGAACTGAGATGTCATTGCGCAGATCGTTAATATAAATCAAAAATAAAAGAGGACCCAAGACGCTGCCCTGGGGTACGCCTTAGAGTTCCTGTATAGCTACCTACGGTAGCAGAGTTGCGCATTCAGCCTCGGCGCGTGGCCGTAGCGCCGGCTTTCCCGCACGAGCTGGATGCTTTGCTCCTCACGTGACTAAACTTGGCGAATAGCGGCGCCGCGCGCGCCGCCGCGCACGGAAAACAGGAGAGGAGGAAAAGGAGGCGGAAAGCAGGGAAACATACGCCGGGGAAAGAGAAGCGTCGGCGGAGCGACCGTAAAGGTGGCTTTCTTGCACGCCAACGGATGCTTTGTTCCTCACGTGATGGATCTCGGCGAATAGCGGCGTGGCGGCGCGGGGAAAACAAATGCGCAACTCTGGCTCCCGTAGGGAGCCTATACAGGAACTCTAGTACGCCTGAAACAACTGGGGACATAGTGGATTTGCTACCCTCAACTTTAACATACTGCTTCCGTGATGAAAGATAAGAGGAAAACCACTTCGTGATGGCTGGATTCTTAAGACAGCACTGATTTTCAATAACAATTTGGGGTGAGATACTTTGTCAAACGCCTTTGCGAAATCTAGGAATATTATATCAGTTTGACCACGACAGTTTATCCTTTGAGAGAGATCATGAACAGTTTCTATGAGCTGGGTAGTCGTGGAAAGACCTCTGCGGAAACCATGCTGTGATTTAAATAATATATCATATTTTTCAAGGTAAGCCAGTAGATGTTTAGATATGATATGCTCAAGAAGTTCAGAGCATGTACTAGTAAGGGAAATGGGGCGAAAGTTTCAGAGGAATGACTAAGTTACAGACGAATGACTAAGTTACAGACGAATGACTAAGTTATGACGAATGACGAATGATTGAATGACGTCGTATCAATATCAAGATAAAAACTAAAAAAAACTGGCGATCGCTGATTCATGCGTTAGGCCGTAGCCAGGATTTTGTTTAGGGGGGAGGGGGGGGGAGGGGGAATCCGCCGATGACAAAATGCTGTATGAGGGAGAGGGGGGAGAGGAGGTCTCAGCAAAATGGAAGATTTCAAGGGAGGGGGGGGTCTCAGCAAAATGGAAGATTTCAAGGGAGGGGGGGGGGCCGGGCTCTATAGGCCCCCCCCTCCCCCCTCCCCTGGCTACGTGCCTGCCATGGGTAACTGGGTCGTGATACGTGCATCAGCTCGTGGCCGGACTAGCCGCTCATTCACACTGGAAGCGGATCCACGTTCGCAAAGCGGTTGCGAACGCGGTTGTATAAAGATCCAGTACAAGTGCGCGTGCACTCGATGACATCAAGTGCGCGTGCAATTGTACTGAATCTTTATACAACCGCGTTCGCAACCGCTTTGCGAACGCGGGTCCGCTTCCAGTGTGAATGAGCGGTATAGGACGAAGCGAGCCCACGTGACCAGTCCAGTTTGATGATGTTAACCAGTAACGCACCTGGCCCGCATGTAGATACAATCAAGCAGGAGAGATTTGAGAACAACGAACGGAAAATAGTCCGCCATTATTAAACATGTCTTCATAATCATCCATTATTTGTACGAGTTTCTCATCGGAAACTGCCGGCTCATTGCCGCAATTTTGTTCTGTCCACTCGTGTCACACTATAGATATAAAATATACACTTCGCATCAGCTATATATGCGAGATCAGATCTTGTCCGGTATCTTTAAAGAAACCTTCCCATTCAGCTATGAGTCAGCTGGGCGAGATCAATTATTACTCCCTGAAAGAACGAGAACGGCATGGCGTGTCGTTCGAAGCCTGACCCCCACCCAACACGCACTCCGTAACTATTTTTTTTTCTTTTTTCTTTTTGCTTTGCGCGTGTTGGCGCGCGCGAGTTGCACGATACGTTGATGCATTGTCGAAGGTAAGGAGCTAACGCTGGAGGCGTGACAAATGAAGCTCCTTCCTGCCGTTCTCACCATGCCGGGGACTATATAGTGACATGTGCATTCGACTGGTGTGATTTCAGATAAGATCAGGTGGAGCAACATTTTTATTTTCGTTATATATTTCTTATGTGGCTGGCTGCTGTCTGTACATCGTTTCACACAAATCAGACGCAGCCGACGATGCGAGCAAATGGGACCAATCAGGCATCGTCAAAACCTCACCTTCATGATGTTCTTTCTGTACGTGTTCTATCATCGCTGAAGCAATCATAAACAGAAGAGGCTCAGCGACGTGCGCTTTTCACACTCTTTACTGGACCCATTAGCTCATAGCGTCGGCTGTGAGTTAACATAAAGCTTCTCTAGCTTAAACAAGTCCATGAAACAGATGCAAAAAAGATATAACGACAGGCAAAGAAGACTACACATTGCGTTCAGTTCTCTCGTCTTCTTCACTCGTCCTTGTCCTTTTTGGCTTTTTCGTTCTATGGAAATGTGTCAAATAGAGATATAGCTAATTTTTTTGTATAGCTCAAAAATAAAATCGTATATTACGGAGAGCTCAGATTGCAGCCTTAATGAGTGCGCGCTGCTGTTCTGGTCAAATTCACTGGCAAATTACTTGTTCGTTAATATAAGAGGAAGCGCTCAAAAATATTCGGGGGCAAGAAAAGCAAAAGAACTAGAGGTGTAACAAACATCAGTTCTGTTTTTTACCTCTTGTCCAACTAGAAGTCAAAGGTGGCTGACAAGTCACTTTTGTTTACCAAGGTTCCACAGTCGGAATATTAAATTTCTAGTGGATACTCCAATGGAATACTCTTATGCGCCGCTCAAGTTTAATAAATATAGAACGACAGTCAAAATACAGACACGCAAACTTGAAAAAAAAAATCGAGTAGTGGAAACGTTTGGCGCCGATGAACAATTAAAACGAAAATATCCTGGATTTTTAACAGCACATCTGCTTGGCTTTTCTCCTTGTGTGACTGTGTTCACTACCATCACACGAATGTGAATTAATCTTGCAGGCGTAGAATACACAGACTATCTACTGAGCGATTTCTTCAAGTATAGGTCTGTGCATGTAGGTGTGCATTAATTATACTTAAGACGTAATTGCGAGTTACACTTTTATTATATTTACGCATTTTTTTTTCATTGTAGCATTGCGGTCAGAGCAGCTAGCTGAATAATGTCAAATCCTTTATGTTCGCGAGCCCCTAATTTATTAGCGAATTTTGTTACAGCTTGCGCAAAAGCTTCGCGTACGATATTCTCGAAATAGCGTCGTCGACGCGTGAGCCAATCCAAGACCTATATAGTCTGGGCTCGGACCGGTCGCACGCGACGACACTATTTATTTGTAAACGCAAAGGTTTTGTGTATGCCATTCCAACACTCGCGATTATTCGCGAATTTCGCGAATTGAAAAATTCGCGGGCTTGGAGGGCACGCGGCTATTTCTTATATCTATAGACTGGCAAGTTGTTTAGAGGCGCCTTTAAAATGCGTGGAATTTAACGACTGCGAATATAATCCCTATTCCCTGTTCGCCAAACATTGGGCCTTTCATAGACTTTTGGCTGCTCCATAAGGTGCTCCAAAATGACTCAAACCAATGACGTTACTTGGAATGCCTTTTTACTCCGTATGCGGCTCAAAATTACCGCTTATTTTTTCCCGCCAAACAAAAATTACACATTTAATTTTTTTATTTGTTTTACTAGAGATTTGAATTATACTGAGCAAGTTCCAACTACCCACTCCCCCGCCCCTTCCCCCTTCTCCCTTTATCAAATCAGAACGATCTGCTTTTTTTTTTTTTTTTAATATTATATATCCTTTTCCAGAGGAACAGTGCGGGAGGGTTAGGTTGTGCATTTACATGTACATTTTAGAAGGTCACGAAAGTAAAGTATTGGCGTCTGATTGGTGGAGGCAATTGCCTCCATCAATCGGACGCCAATACGTCACTTCCGTGACCTTTTAAATCGTCATCATCATCATTTATTTTCCTTGAGGGCCCGTGGGGCATTATACAAGGGGGTGGCAATAGAACAAAAACAAATAGAACAGTAAACACAATTATAACACTGTAAGCTAGCTAGGTAGGTTAGATAAAAAGAGGGTAATGGCTTCAACAAATTTAGTAGTATCATTAATAGGAACGATGTTATGAGGTAGTGAATTCCAATCCTCGATGGCCAATGGTAGTGTGGAAGTCTGGTGAGAAACAGTTGATGATCGAATTGGACGTAATTTACATAGGTGATCTAGACGCGGGAAAATACGATGGGGAGGTGATAGCAGTGATTCTTTAAGGTGGCTATTGTGATAGAAAATTCGATGGAGGAGAGAAAGGCGTGATACTCGGCGGCGAAGGGAAAGTGAATGAAGGTTAGCTGATTGGCGTAATCCTGATATGCTGGTATATGGTGAGTAGTTGTTATAAATAAAACGAAGGGCTCTGTTTTGGACGGATTCTAGATTATTTGCAAGGTAGGACTGCCATGGGGACCATATAGATGAGGCGTATTCTAATTTCGATCTTATAAGAGTAGTATACGCTAGTCGTTTTACGGAGGGTGTAGCAAGTTTAAGGTTACGGCGCAAGTATCCGAGAGAACGGTTAGTATCAGAAATAACAGAAGTTATGTGAGTAGTCCATGATAGGTCAGAGGTGAGATGAACACCCAGGTACTTATAAGATGAGCATGCTATTACTTGAGTGTTAGAGAGGTAATACGAAAATGGTGTGGCACGCGAACTGCGGGAAATTGATAGGGATCTACATTTATTGAAGTTTAATGTCATCTGCCATTTTTCACACCAATGGATTACAGACTCTAGATCTTCCTGGAGAGCATGATGAATAGAAATGTGCATAGAAATGTCCAGCCTAGGTGCCCAGGCCACCTGTTCTCTTTCGGGGCCGTCTGACGTTAAACTCTTTCGCCCTTTTTGTCTCTTGTTTCAGATAACTCAGCTGAAGATAGACAACAACCCATTCGCCAAAGGATTTCGTGACACTGGCGCCGGCAAGCGGGAAAAGAAGTAAGTTCGTCATGTTCTCGACATAAAAAAAGCGCTGCCACATGATGCAGGGCCAAAAGACGATGCTTTGTCGTTTCAACTTATGTTTCAAGTTGACTCATCCATTGTTCAAGTCGGTGCACCTGCGCCATGTCCTATTCTAATTTTATATCGCGAGACGACGGGCAAGCCTCGCGAACTCCTATCGACCATGCTTGGCAATTCATTCGTAAAATTCATTCGCTATTACAAATTAAAATAGTTTTACCGCTAAAAGCTATATCATGCCCCAATAATAAAATTTTACGCTTGTAGCTATAGAACCCTTCAAAATGATGACGTGGTTAATTAATTACGCGCTAACGTAAATCTCAAAACTTTTTCTGCGTTTCTGTCTCTCTATGTCTCTCTTTAAAATAACCGAGTGCCAATTTCTCTTTCACAACATGTATGCTCCTCCTCTTGGCTACTTCTAGAGTTAATAAACGTCACGGCAGTGTTAGTCAAGTTTCAGCTATCCCTCTTATAGATCATTTGAAACAAGCATATAGACCTTTCCCGCTTACTCTCGCCTCCGACCGCCAAGTAGGCATATCCGGTATGGGCGACGAAAAAATATTAAAACGTTTCAACCTGCAAATAGTAAAAATATAGAGGGGAGAAAAAACGATAATGGGTGACGGTTACGCTTATCTCCTAGATGCATTCTATTGGCATGGCGACGGCAAAACAATGTTTTCGCCCATACTGGAAGTGACGACAATTCAACATGGCGGCGCCCTCGAAGAAAGGGTCTATAAGCACGCGAACCATTCCCCTAAAAAGCTTTAACCGTTTTCGTTCCTCGAATCACGAAGAGTCTCAACATCGGATTTGCGATACCCTAATCGGTCGGCGTTCCTGCCTCCGACAAAGCATCCGGCGGACCGCCAGAGCCCGGGTGGCGGGATCAATGCTTTGCGGGACCCCTAACGCCACCCCTCGGCGATGATGTCAGTTATTTTGGGTATAGACCATGGTGCTTTGTGCCGCCGTCATTTCGAGAAAGGCAGGGGGTGGTGAGTCCCAAACATTCTGTCATCGCTTAGTAGTCAGTAAGATTTGGCCATCAACCTACAAGGACGTCCAAACACGAATCACGAAAGAAAGAAGCGTGAGCAGCGTTCCTTCACTTCTCAGTAAGTGTATTGCCGGACTGCGGGCGTCTTGCATGCCGTTAAAAAAAAAATACAAAAAAAAAAAACGATGGTTTGCTGCGTTTACAAGCGGTCGGCCCCATTAGCTAAGAGGTCTACCAACCCCCTCCCCATTAACTTCTCGGGTCTCGTTAAAAACTTTCCTCACGTATTCATTATGGCTGTCGTTAACCCATCAGAAAACTATTATAGAATCCATGGCTTCGCCGAAATTTCCTGCCGCATCGGTTAAGCTCGGCTGCGTATTAAACTAAGCCCTGATCGCTTAGAAGGCCGTTTATCACTGCCTATATTTACGCGACGCCCAAATGGACGCTACGTGCGTTAAGATTTCTTTTCCCCGCCTTGTTGGTTCTTATTTTTCTTTATTGAGAACAGGCCGTGGATGCGCTTGAGGCGGGGCAATAACAACCGCGTGTCCCCATCCTTCGGGCGTCGGTGTGCATACGAACGTGTCTAGAAGTTTGTGAAACTCCGCGCTCTCTCAGGGGAAAACACAACACAAATCAAAACCGCGACACGTGCAGCGAGTGTTCACTGTTTTTTATTTGTTTTAACTAACTCGATATTCAGTGTCATTACTCGTCTGGCTTTCCGTTGTTGTTGGGGCTTGTGTTTACGTGAGGTAATGGACCGAAGGTGTGGCGATGATTAGGTGCTTTATGCAGCGAAGGACTTCCTGCGGGGAAGCAGCGCGTGCCCAGATTAATTATTTAATCGCTCGAGGTTTCCTTTTTTTTTTTTTTTTTGTGTGTGTGTGTGGGGGGGGGGGGGGGGGTTACACACCCGTTCACTTAGTGCCTCGTAAGGCGTACAAATTTCGGCGATGTTATGTTCCTGCGTGATACGAATTTTTTTATATATACATCTGTAGAGTATTTTTCGTAGTTGTGGCATAGCTGTCCGAGTTACCTTTATTTCTTAACGTCTATCAGTATGGAATCGCTTGCTCGGTGTGCTTTAGAGGCGCATTGTTTTATTTAGATTTTCAAGTAGTATAATACCCTACAATAATCGCTGTCTGCCAGCGGCCATCTTTGTTTACGGGGCTGTAGAAAAGGTTCTGTACATGCGCTGTAGTGAGTGTCTTCCGCAAAGTATTACGAGCCACTTATGCTACCACAGCCCGTGTGACTCGGCATTTATCGCCTGGGTGATAAGCGCTGGAGCAGTGTGTACGACGCACATCTCTAAAGTTTATTCCGTATAACCTGAGAAAAGAGAATGCTATAGCATCAGGATCTTTATATTAAACGTGTAATCTAACTTCAAATACTAAATTTTTTTTATTGTGTGTGTGTGTATGCGTGCTTGCGTGCGTGCGTGCGTGCGCGTGTGTGTATGTTAATGTCTGTGTGTGTGTGTGTGTGTGTGTGTGTGTGTGTGTGCGTGTGTGTGTGTGTGTGTGTGTGTGTGTGTGTGTGTGGAGAAATTCATATTTCAGGGCCCATTTGCTGGAAGCACTAACCGCGGCTAAAGTTAGCCGCAGTACCTAGGAGAGGGATTTTGAAATCACGTGACTGGCTCGGTAGCGATGCGGGGAAACATGGCGGCGCCCCAGTGAGTGAGCGCCGCTCGCTTTGGAAATAATATGTCGTTGTAGCTGCAATATCGGGCGCGTTAGTCAGCAACAAAGTTAGACGACACAAATCGTAATAAGGTTGCGTTTTTTTTTGTTTTTTTTTTTCTTTTTTTCATGCACGTATTTGGTTTATAATTTAAGTTCAAAGGCGATTAATTTAAAGCGTAAAAGCTTGTATCGTCCCTTCGAAAAGCATGTTTTGTACGGAGGAATAGATAATGTATACACCTGCAGCATATTGTTTCCAAAGAAACGCTTGTGACCCACGCAATCTCTGGTGGATTCAGCACATGCTTGTGGGACCTGCTTTTCCAAAAGCGGAAAAATGCAGACTTGTGCCCGTAACTCCAAAAAAGTAATTAATTACAATTACAATTACTTGGCCTAAAAAGTAGTGGATTACCGTTACAAATTACTCCCCGTAAAAAGTAACTGATTAATTACTTCGATACTTTACTCGATTACTTTTGCGTTACTTTAAAGAAACACGCAAAATACCTGCAATATCTACTGCGTGTTTGGGGGGGGGGCGGGGGTAATTTTGGGACCCATCAAAGATAAAACCGATTCAGTACTATGTCTACCGATTATTTTAGGCTAATAATTTTACGACGATGGATCTATAAGTCTCTAAAGGACTGGAACAGGTGTTCGATATAAACGAATCTAGCGCTGTCCACCAGGGACAGAAGTCAATCCCATGAACATGCGACGAATGCACATGGGTGGCGGAGGCACGCACACCATTCGAAATATGCCAACGGCAAACTTTAGAACGCGATTCTCCTGAAGATGTGGTTTTTCTACCGTTGCTATATATTGCCTAAATAGGGGCTGGTTTAGCCACTAAAATCAACTGGCCTGTAAGACGTACATAAATACGGTACTTGCATTTGGGCAGATTTCAGAGTACCGCTTGTTGAAGGTTGTTATCCGGCCTTGGCCCACTTGATCTTTCTCTTGATCATCAAACCAGCAAAAAACAAAACTTCACATGAAATATTCATCCGCAATCTTTCAGCTAACCTGATTTTTCTGTTTAAGAAATATTAAAAAATCACAATTTTCAGTGAACAGCAGGCTTCAATGTATCTCACGCGTTTACAGCCGCCTTGCGCCGCCTTAACTCCTGTGTAGGCACCCTACTGTGTCCAGGTCAGCCACTGCTTATTCTCAGAAAACTCGGGCTGTCTTCTCTTTTCCTAAAATGTCGGAGTAAGTTCCCGTAGGCACAATCCGGCTGACGGGAACCCAACATTCTCGTTTCTAGGAATATGGGTTCAGCTTCGAAGTCCCAAGCCATTTTGGCTGTGCTCCCCGGCCGCCTTATCGCCTGCTGTCTAAAGTTACTGTTTGAACTGACAGTAGTGTTGATGCTATATTTTTTTTATGTTCCAATGAGCTGCTGCCATCGCTTCCCTTATGTTTGTGCCTTACGCACCCGCTAGTGCGAAGTCAAGTGATAGAAACCACAAAGCTGTTTGGTCCAGCCAGTATTTAGCTTTCACAGTGCTGTCCAAGATGAACAAAATCAAGATCTCGTTACAATTTTTTTTTTTTTTTTTTTTTTTGCGGGGTGGGCGTGTGTAGGCAGAACATCGACAAGCAAAGGACGGTCTCTTGTGACAAGAAAAATGCTGATTGGTTTTTGGGGAACAACACGCAGGGAGTGGGGCGGAAAGGAGGGCGGGGGGGGGGGGGGGGGAAGGGGCCGAGCGGACATCTGCACCACGGTCACAGTGTCCACGTTCGTACTCTTCACAACTCCCACTCGATGGTTTTATGGGCCATTAGTTTTCTGCTCTTTTGTGCGCTCGAAGCAGTTCGTTCGTTTTCCAAGTCGAAGCTTGTTGCCTTCATGTAGACAGTCAAATCCTCCCAGCCTGACTGACCGTACGAACAAGTCCAGAAACGGGCTCTGGCAAGGCTGTCGCGGTTTCGGTGAATTCCTTTCCTTCGCCAGCACTAGATCTCTTCGCGAGCGAACCCCCGTCTTGTGTTACCATGCTAAAAGCGCACCCGGCCGTTGCCATCGCCCTTCTTCCTCTCTATTTTCTCTTTGACGGGGCGGAAGAGTTGTAACGAGTAATTTCAGTAACGCGTTACTGAAAAAGTAATGAAATTAGATTACAAATTACATTTTCAAGAAAGTAACGAATTAATTACAAAATTACTAGAAAAGTAATTAATTACAAGTAATTCCGTTACTTGTAACGGATTACTTCCAAGTCTGGAAAAATGGCGTATGCTCCCCGCCGTAGTCATCGCCACCGCTTCAGCATGACGTCGTCAGAAACTTGAGTTGGTGGATCCCACGAACTTAAAAGCTCGAAATCAGTGGCAGGGATGCAAATCGTGGCCTTCCCTCGCGTTTGCAGACGGCAGGCGATGTTGCTGCAGCAGCAGCCGCATTCCCACGGGAGCCACCAGGGTTCGCCGCTGAGCCGCGTGGGGGGCAACCACCATCACGCGGCCATGATGTCCGGACAAGACGACTCCAGCGACGATGAGGACAAGCTCGACGTCGGTGAGGCGTCGGACCTCAGGCCAGACGGTCTTCTGGACCGCGCCGGAGCTTTGGGTAAGCGGCAAGTATACTGGCCTCTCAGGACCTCGTGACGCTGCTATCGGAGAGCGTTCTGTTACGCCGACTCGTAAAAATGACCGTGGGCCTATTTGATCTTTGAGCCTGTGGAGATGTAATTTGTCATCGGAAAGCGAGCACGGGCAATACACGTGCCTGGTGTCTCAGGGTCTGCGTGAATCGCATTTATCAGTCAATGGGGTTTTCGTTCGGTCATCCACTACCCTCTCTTTCTATGAAATTCCGAGAATTGATCGCCCCGAGGAAGAAATGTTGCGAGAAAAATAAACTAGATAATTAAAAAATTTAGTGGAAAGGTCGAATGTTCAAGTTTTTAAATATTAAATTTTAATCCCACTATTTAGGCTATTTTGTTTATATAAACTTCGAATATGTTTGTTAAAATAAGGTCATCCCGTGCCCCTTTTTGTTTTAAACGTTTACCCCGTCTGTAACACTTCCATTATTACGAAAATTGATATAAATTGACACTTAAGACAACCTAAAATTTAAGTTGACATATTTAATATATTTGTTTTATTGTACCAGTTTTTGCTGGGAGAGATTTGTCCCTTACTCTTGGTGTGTTTTGTTTTCGCCGCCACTGCCTACTTTGGGGAGGCGGAAAGTTTGTCTAGCCGCGCCTTTGTGGCATCTATTTCCGGTTTCCTCCGTCTTCGTTGTGGTGGTAAATTGAAACAAATTTCAAGTAGAATTGAGCTAAAAAAATGAAGTTCCACGAAGAAGAGCACACGTTCTACCGAACAGTGTTTTAGCTAGAAAAAGGCACGCAGCAACCCTTCACCCCAAGCATAGTCAGAATAATACTTCCATGGCCCCGAATACGCTGTTTCTCAGCGTCCCGCACCTTTCTTCCGCAGACATCCGAAGGGAAGACGGCATCGAAAGACGCTCGTCTCCGGCGTCCACGTCGAGCCCCGTAGGAGACCTGCATGAACGCGCCAAGCTGAGCGCCGCCGCATCAGCCTCTGGACTACCGCAGCCTTCCCCGCTCCTGCCCTACTTCTACCCGCCCTCGCTGTACCCTCCAGGCCTGACCCTGCCTCAACTGTTCTTCCCGGGCGCCGTGGCCGGAAGCCTTCCCGCGTCCGCGAACCCAGCCGCGCTGTCCTTCCTCATGGCCAACCACCCGCTGCTGAATCCCGTAGCCTACTCCGAAATGGCGGCCCGCCTCAAGCAGCACCGATTCTCGCCGTACTCCGTTCCCCTGGGCGGCCCCGCGGCAGCCGCTGCCGCCGCCGCGGCCGCAGCGGCAGCCGGAGGCCAGTCTCCGTTCCGGTTGCACGGTTTCTTTCCGGACGAAGGATCTTCATCTTTGCCGAGATCACCGTTGGAAACGATGTTCCAGAGACGAACGCCCTCGACCACGCCACCGCCGGTGCCGGCGCAGGACTCCGGGACCAAGTCTAGCCCGACGGTCAACTCGGAGGACGGCTGCAGTTCTTCCGGGGAGAGCTCCAGGAGTGGCGTGACGGGCAGGGGGACCAGTTCTCCGCCGCCGCTGCTTCTGCTACGGACCACTGGTGGTGCTTCCTCGTCGAGTGATCTCAGGAGCATCGAGAACATCGTGAACGGACTGGAGCGCCGGAGGGACTCGAGGGCCGAGAGCGTTGCCGCGGCGACGGGGAAGGCACTCCAGGACAGGACGAGTGCCGGTTGTTAGGACGTGTGTGGTGTGCGTGTGTCGGGGGGACTGAAGGGAGACTGGTTGCGGTCCAGGTGTCTCCAACGGGTGTCCGTGGACTGGATCGTGGTTCCAATGCGTCCTCTAGGAAACTGCTTTGAGTGCGCTAGATAATGGCGCTGAGGCGTCGGCTATATTCATATGTTCAATGGCTGATCATCAATCCTGAATCCTGACTGCTTCGTGAAGGCAGAGTCCGTTATTTATATGCAGTCTTACGTGCTACAGTTCTTGTTGCAGCACGTTGCACACTAGAATGGGTCTGGCAGACTACCTCGTGGTGGTGGGAGCTGTTTCGCTTGAACTGGCCCAGCAAAGGGGAGTCGCAAACGGTACGCGAAATGTGGTCCGTATTACGCTTGGCAAGAAACAAATGGCTTCCAGATGTGATGCTTATAGCCGCTTCCAAAGGTTTTTGAGCGCCCGTCAAGGCACCCTTAAAGTCCGTTGGCCTTCGTTGTAAGAGGTTTCCGTATAGATGAACTGCAACTCTTGGATGCTGGAAAGTCTTTAATACCGACCAGATACCGCTTGATGCGTTATATCTAATAGTCGTTTTTTGCCGTGCGCGTAATTCGGATCACGCTTGGCGTGTCGGTTTAGAAAACGCTTATCTTTGAGTCAAGTGAAAGAAGCTCGGGTGTCGTATGCAGTGATCCTTCAATTTGCGCTATGTATACAAAAACACGAATTGAGAAACTTTCACGAACCGGCTGGTTCCGTCTCCGCAGCAATTTCTGCTTAAAATCCTTCGGAAGCGGGTGACCTCAACTGTGCGAACACACTGAAGACAACATTGATAGGGTTGTGTATAATCGGGAAGAACTAACGTGCACATTCACACGTTGTACATTGAAGCGGTTTATAAATGAAGTCAAGGAGGATGCCCGACCTGGGCTGAATGCAGAAACACGCGTGCACGCAAAGAGTTGACCTTTTGCTTCAATATGCCTCACTCAGTGCTGAGCACGAGTGAGGCACGAGCACGGTTCTAGCTTTGCTAACATTTGAGAACCTACGAGACGTACGCATTGAGCTTCGCATGCAATACGTGTAATATAGCATATTGATCGAGAAACGGCTGTCCCGGAAACGGGTGTTCGGTCGGCGAGACATTGTACATTTGTAAAATCCGAAAATGGTACGTTCTTCAATTGCCTTCGAGATACTTTCCACCAACCAAGTGCATTCGTATACATAAAACCGACATATTTATTATTATTTTGTTGTGTAGCTTCGGGTTTCCTTCGTATACGTTGGCACGTTCGGGATAACTGAGTGCCGCTGGATCGTTTCTTGTCCGAAACTTCCGCTTGAGCTTACATTTTGTCGGTTTGGTAAGCGATGTTAGCCGCATACCTCAACGCGGGTATCCGGGAACCTCGGCCTGTCGCCCCTAGTGTCAATCGGTAACCCTGTGAGAAACTATGTTCCTGATTTATTATTAGTTTCGCGGTGAAGTTTCTTGTACACTCAGTAAGAGCCATATTCGCTGACAGGTTTCCGGGCGCCTTCTGATTGCTCGTCAGCCAATGGGTTTGCGGCATTAATTTTTAAGGACGACGAAAAACCGATCAGCAAGTGAGAAGCGTGAACGTAAGATGCCATGCCCTTCGATCATTAACCTTACCGGGACTCTAAGCAAGCTTTCGTAGTATATCAAAATGACGCCGAGATAAAAATTAATGAACGCAGTTTGTTTGTCAGTCAACGTAACAATAGGCCAAATGGTCGGATGTTTATGAGTCTTATATGATTTTTTTTTTCAGCAATATATTGTAGTCCCGACCAAATCGATAAAAATGATCTCAAAGACGACACGATGAATAGGAGACCTTCGTTTTGTGGCAATATGTCTCGCGAGTGATCTAACCAAGAGCGTATACTGTTTTGGCGGGGTTTAGTAACAAAGTCTCGTAAATTGAAGGAAGCAAATAGGAAATAAAAAAAAGGTGTCTTAGTCTTATATTTTTCGTGGCTCGGAGTGTAAAATCTGTGTTACCAAAGAAGAAACAATCCACTACACCCGCACTTTTTCGTTGCTTTTCTTTTTTGTGTCTGCATGAATGAATGTTTTACCTGTATATAGTTTGGTGAAAAGAATTTTCCTGCTTAAAAGGGATACAACCGACAAAATAAAGAAGAAAAAAAAACGTTTGGTGGTGGTTATGTTTTTGCCGTGAACAAATATGCTGTCGAAACCGCAATGTGATGCTATTAACGTCTCGCTGATATTGCAATTTTGACAATTTCACTCAGAATTGAGTCATTTTGGTAAACTATACTCGTCATTGTTTCGTGCGAAGAAATATAAACAAATGCCTATAAGCCTTATGAAAAGTGAAAAATAGTTCAACTTTAAATAACGGATTATGGTTTATGTGCACTCGCTTCGCGGTGCGTTACCAAATGGCAAATGTACAGACAGGGGCGAGATCCTAACCCAAACAGTTAGAGGGGAAGGGAAGAAGGAGCTCGTATTTGAACTCCCGTCTTAGCTGGACCGTCTTTCGTGTATCGCAGGCGTCGCTTTTGAAAGCCCGTAACTCAAAATCCCTGCAAAAGCGGCTTTCCTCTAAATCCCGCCTGCGGCTTTTATTTATTTATTTTCAAAATACTGCCGATCCCCATTGAAGGATTATAGCAGGTATGGTACAAATAAAAACAACGCACAAAATTTTTGAGGCGCGCGAAAAACAGTAATTTTTAGAAATCGTCACTTCTTTTCATATCGAAACAACAAAACAACGCAACAGAAAGAACTAACTCATGAACTTGCTGAGAAGGTCTTGTTCAAGAGCTTGAATGAACGTATCCACATTTGTGTAGTTAAAAAATAGCAGATCAAGGCTGTTCCAATCTCTTACAGCTGAAAGAAAGAAAGAGTACCTAAAACTATTATTATTGAAAAAGTATTCGGTTAATGTATTGCAGTGTTTATGTCTTATTGTTCTCGCCTGGGAAAAATTCACATACTTGCTCTTGTCTATGTTAAAGGCGTCGTTTAAAAGGAGATACAAAAATTTGAGTCTTCCTAATTTTGCGCGATCAGCAATGGTCAGTAGACCATTGCTAAGAAGATAAGGGCCTTACCACCTCCAATTATTTCGTTATGTCTGGGTAGCGTATGAGATGAGACCGCCATCCGATAATAACCACAGAAGCCGATCGCGAGACTATAAAAGCCTTCATAATTAGGCCCCTTATGAAGCAACTATTCCGCTGGAGGCAACCAGCCGCACTGATTTCACTTTTCATTGCTATTTTTGCTTAATTTACCTTCAGATTAATGGCCTATTAAGAACGAGGGCTATTGTCTTCGTCTCTTCTATGTATACATCTAATATATACAGTTTTTTTTCTAACTAAACAGATTTCTGTAAAAAAAAGCCCTGAAAGTTACATTTATCAGGATTTTGCAGGTGAGTTATACGGCGAGGGGGACAGAATATAGGGGACGAATCGTAGCGATCAGTCAGCTAATTAATTAAAATTCGTTAATTAACTTTTTAAATAATGAAAATAGACATATGGTTCAAATTAGAAACGCGAAAACTACTAAATCAACTCATTTTAAAAGGATATAACGCGGGGGCAGTATATTACGACGTTCCGTAAAAACGCTCAATTTCGACGTGTTTCTAGGTTGTTAGGGAGTTTTCGAAGACCGCGTTGCCCCCTCCGCTAAGCGTTCCGCAACGAAGAAGTTGCTACTGCGCCTGCGCGCCGATAGCCTTGACTGTGGAGTTCCCGCTATCCTAGCGGGTTGCGGAGGCCCTTGCGGGACGGCGAAAACGATCTACGAAAACTCCCTTATATTTCTTATCGGAGCGCATCTCTGCGACCGCGGTCCTGCTCTCCAGTGGCTGAGACGCGCAACACACGTGAGCTCAACGTCCCTCCATGCTACGAGGGAGGCGAGGAGGTGGCTTCGCGCCGCGACCACCAGGAACGTGGGCGCAAAGATGCGCTTTAATAAGGAAAGAAAACCTAGAAACGAGTCCAAATTTAACGGTTTTTTAGAAGGCCGTAAAATGCTGCCCCCGTGATATATCTTTCTAAAAATAGTTGATTTAGTGGTTTTCGATGACGCTGAGCAAGTTTCTATTTGGAACCATATGCATTTTTTATTTATTAAAAAGTTAACGAATTTTAATTAATTAGCCGAATGATCCTTGCGACTAGCCTGCTATATTATGTCCCCCTGGCCGTATAACTCACCCGCGCAAACCGCGTTAGTGTAACTTTCAAGGATTTTTGTCAACAAATCTGTTATGTTAAAAAAACTCTCTCTCTCTCTCTTTTTCTCTCTCTTTCTTTCTCTCTCTCTCTCTCTCTCTCTCTCTCTATATATATATATATAATTTAATTTAATCACACATATTGTGTAGTCGCAGGCCCGCAGATAAATGAGAGGCAGAAACACCGATTTCTTAGTATCTCCATCAAAGATAAACACCGAAAATAAAGCTAAGAAAGTCCTTTGTTATAGCTCTCTTTCTGCTTCAATTAGTTTTTGCGGATTTCAGTGCTAAAGGGTTCCCATGAAATCCTGAAAACTATGTCCTTTGTACCACTTTCATTCCATCCAAAAGCCTTGATGGCTTTTGTAGCAAACTAGGGACATTCATCGAACAATTTGTCGGCTTGCCAGTTGTGCTACGACGGCTATTCGGCAACCTGCATTGCCGCAGTCGGGTCGAAGAGAACAGCTGCCGTGTTTACAAAGTCCCGTACGTACTACGCTATGACTGAAGATAAAAGAGAGAAAGAAGAAAAGGGTGAAACGAGAATATATTCGCTCGTATTTCGCTAAATGTTCCAAAGGGGAGAGCGGAAAAGCGAGGTTGAAAAATAGACCCGGGGTCGACCTATAAATAGAAGGCACACCTGCAGAGATCGCGAACGAACTTTGAAAACAATAAATACACTGACCTCTCTCGTGTTTATTAAAAAAAAAAAAATAACGATTTCAGTCA